AATGTCTGCGGAGTTATTTTATTCTCAGCTTTTCTTCATTAGAAAGCTGAGAAAAACTATTTTTCTTGTAAACCCTGTACAGAATTATTTGTGAAACACTCATATTTATGTGTTCGATAAATCTATTAATAAATAACGTTTGACTCCTTGTAAACACCGCAATTCACTACACACTGAACACGAAACGGCTGTCACAGAACTCGACCACCAGGTATACCGGAATATGCAGCTGTGCCATCTTTTTTATTCCATTCACCTCGGTGGCTCAATTCCATCATGGGCTTAAGAGGTGTGACTCTACCTGACCCTGTTGGGAATCATTTGCAACACCTTAGAAAGAGTATGTGATAATACAAAGGAGAAGTTTGGCTCTTATCGTACGCCAAGACACCAGGTTGTTGTAGCTGAAATCCAACTCCCACTGACGTCAGCTCTCTGGCGCTGGCTGGGGCCTCTCTTCATCTGTTAACGCTTGTAGAAAGATGTTCATTCAGAGATAGACCATTCGCACGTTATTAAAATGATTTCTTTTTCATATTAACGTGTCAAGGGACATTGGACGATCAGTTCTGGTTGTTGTGCAGCACTGGAACAATGGAACGAACCGCCACTGGTTGGAACCACTTGTGGTGTGTTAGGTTAGGTGTTTGTGATGTCTGGAATAATAGGACAGAAATTGCAATAATATAATGTTACGTAACTATTGTCAATATTTCGAGAAAGAGTATGCTATTGTAGAACGCTAGTTTTATATTGTAACTACATAGTCCAATCGCATTAATGTGACCAACCCGTCAAAATCCTGAATAGCTCCCTCTTCAAGCGCTGACCGCTACGAGACTTACAGAAAGAGTCAATTAGGTTCTGAATGGTACCGATAGGGATGTGGAGCCATGCCGACTCCAGTGCCATGGCCAGTTGCGCTAGGTTCCTCAGGTGCATATCCACGGCGCAAACAACTCGATTGAGATGGTCCCCTCACATTTTTGATTGGGTTTAAATCGTGGGAGTTTGGATGTCAGAGGAGTACTGCAAACCCATTCTTCGAACTACGACGTAACCTGCGAGCTTATGACACGTTGCATTGTCCTGCTGGCGTCCTGCATTGTCATGCGGTCTACTGAGGAAAAACGATCTCCATGTAGGGGTGAACATGGTCCCCAAATACGGGCTGCATGCTTCTGTTGATCCATTGTGTCATCCAGAATCACGATGGAATAGCACGAAAACATTCCCCACGCCATCATCTCCTCTGTCCTGGGCCCCACGCCGATCGTTGCCGGGTGTTTGCGTTCAGACGTTTCACTCCGTATGCGCCAACCACCGATGTCCGATGGAGCAGAAAACATGATTCATCTTATAAGGCCATATGTCACCATTCATTGGACGACCAGTTGCGGTATTGGCGTGCAAATCCCAGCATTCGACACCTATGAACACCAGTCAGCATGGGTGCATGAATCAGGCACCTGCTTCGGAGCAACATTTTGCAGCAACGTTCGTTGTTGAGGAGACCCTGTTGGTAGCACCTTCGTTAATCTGAGCGGTCAGTTGCTCTACAGTTGCATGACTATCCGCCCATACCACTGGCGGATCTCGGGGGGCGGGGCAGCACTTCCCCCCCCCAGGTGTAGAGTTTTCGTAAACAAATATGTTTATATAACAAAAATTAATTTTGCGATCGCCCCCCCCCCCCCCCCCCCCCCCCCCCCCCCCCCCCCCCCCAGAAAGACTGGCTGGGATCCGGCCGATGCCATACAACATCTCCGCCGCCGTTTTTCTCTGTCATCTACCCGGCCCCGTTGGTGGCGCCACAGTTGCCTTGGCGCCGGTTTTGTATATCGCCATTTTGACTATGCATTGTGTACTAAAATACGCAGCAACGGCAACACTAAAAAAAAAAACTTGGCCGTTTTCGGAAATGCTTAGGCTCGTGACCAGAAAGGTCATGATCATGTCCTTTTGTCGCCCCAAAATCGCGGTTCTGCATTGCGACAACTTACTGCACTCTTTCCGGCTTCCCCCCGAACACTCTTGACATTACTCCACTGTCTTCTGTTACCCACCAGCCACTTGTTCTGTGAGGCCACATTAACGTCAATAGGCGCGACGGTCGGTGCGTGGTTACATTATTTGTCATTGGACTGTGTATAGTTTGAAATTGAGTTCACTTACGAAATAAAGCTATAAATATTTCTGAATTTGTTGTGAATGTTTCTTCTTATCAATAGACAATACAGAGTGTGGGGCGTACTAGTATTAATTTTGATTTTGATTTCCATTATGAGGTTACACAGCTTGTTCACCAGTATCTACAGAAGTAAATTCTTGTCCAAGTCTCCTTGCTGAATTGGCTGAACAATTTGCTCACAATAAGCAACTGGAACAGACGTCAGACCTTTAGCCGTTTGCTCTGCTCACGCTTATGTCTAAAACGTGTGTTGAAAGATGAACATTTTTTGTTGCGGATGTATTTCCTCACTTTACTGGAGTTGCAGCTGGAATCCTGTTCCAAATGTACGATTGTCAGTTGCCCAGACTTGGCATGTGATATAGCCAGTCCAATGTAAAGTAATTTATATAATTCCTAAAATTATTATTAATAATTATTGTTGTGGTGTGGTTTAGATGATGGAAAAATGGACGTAGAGGCAGTACGCCATCAGAGATTTTAATTAATTCGTTAATGGATTACATAATAGTATGTTGTTTTCTTAATTAATTAGGGAAATGCTTTGCGCCCCACTTCCGGTATTGGATTAAAAAAATATATCTTATGCAGAGTACATTTCATATGCACGGATGATTAACTCCACTTGAAAGATATACAACGATATATAATACCAGAACACACTGTAAATAGTCGAATTATCTTACCAGCAACTATTGAGCAATGCTGTTAAAGGTTCACACGGATTACGATATCAAAAATGGCCAGTTTCATTCAAACAACTGCGCAATCATGGGGAAGGAATATTCGTGTGAGGATATTTGTGTGGTTGTAATATGGCTATTCATATCTAAGTATAAATTATTTTAGAAGATATGGAGTATTTAGACGTGGAGTGTGTTTTGGTAAAGAAAATGAGGTGAATGTCATTAGTTTGGAATGCTTTAAAACCTTTGTGGCAGTGTTTCGAAAACACATGTTATATAATTATGCCTACCATTCACGGTAAATTCTACGAAATATTATTTCATATTATTTCGAAAAGTTTGTAACGTGGACCATATGCCTAAGATGTTTAAGGCCGTCAAATATAATTAAGAAAACATCTTTCTATTTTCAATGATCATAGTTCTAGGAAGGCTCCAAAAAAAAATTGAACCGATGCAGTCCGTGAAATGTAATGGATTTAACATTTCCACGAAAATAAAAACCTATGCCCCGTATAAATCTTATCTTTTTAAGCGTTTTTCTACGCTCTCCAAAGTACAAAGTTAATTTTAAAAAATGGAAACTATTGATAATTTTGGAAAATATCAGGGACGGCAAACGTGTAAAGAAAGCAAAATTATCCCCCCCCCCAATCAAAATATAAAGCTCAGAAGGACTCGGAGTTCATTAAATCCCGGCCGATAAATATCAATGATTGGAGAAAATCATCCTGAACAGTTTGACTATATCGTTCACCAGACATACGGGCACCATGGATAGACAGATATTTGCTGTAAGTCGATTTTTGTGTCAAGGACTACAAAACGCGACACTGACTACACAACATGTTGGAGCAGGTGTGGCATCACGGGAAAGAAATTATGGAACCCCCCCCCCTAAAATGCTTCTTGTAATTAATATCGAACTTGTCACGAAACTTATAAAACAAAATATTTACGGATAACATTTAAATTAATAAAATTTGTATCGTAGACTGAGTGGAACCCTGCCTCACATTTTACATAAATATGTAATGACCCCATTCGACCAAAAACATTTTTTCTAATTTCCCCTCCCCAAATTTGACCTCTGTTGCCCCTAGTTAGAGGAAGTAAATTTACTACATACTGAAAACAATTTTAAGTACTATTTCCGTTGCCAGGCGTCCGGCAATAGAGTTTTCTTTCGAAAATCGGTAAATTTTTCGCGCGCATGATTACTTAATTTTCCTCCTTTACGAAGTTAGCCTAAAAAGAAAAATTAAAATTAGTTCTCTGTTTAGATAATTTTTTCCTATCTGTATATTAAAAAACTTTTGATGTGTCTGTCGTTATTCAGTCGTAAACTCATCATTTTCCAAGGCGATTTTATGCACAGGAATATTTCCAAGATATTTTTCAACCCCACTCAAAAAGAGGACAACCAAAATTAAATTTCGAAATCATGGACTTGAATATCGTTGGGTTTTTCGCAAAAAAATATTTGAGGATGAAGGGGACTTTTTTCTATAATTAACGATTGGAAAAAAAAAATTTTTAAAATTTTCCTTCTGGTTGTGTG